CGTTTGACAATTATGCACGGTTACATTTCATGGCATATTGGCGCAGTTTTGCAAATAAAAGTCTGGCAAATAACAATAACAAAAATATGGCAAGCAAAAAGTCAGAGAGAACGTACATGAGTGTGTGTGTGTGTGCGCGGGTGTGTGGTCGGTCGTATATTGATAGCGGCAGGCAGGGGGCGCTATGCACCTAGAGCCGGGCAACAATCATAGCCAAAGTAATCAGCGAATGTATAGCAATAGCTAGAGCTAGACCCAAAGCCAGAGCCAAAGCCAATGCCGAAGCCAAGCCATTTTAGCGTGACAATCAATTGATTTCCCAAGCGGTAAACGGGAAAAAATATTGTGTTTTTGCAATTTTTTGTGAGAGATTTTAAGCTTTCCTTTAAGCACTGCAGCACTTTTGGTATTTTCGTCAGCCACGCTGCAGTTTCTGATCAATAAATCATTTGCTGTTTGCATTTGGCTCATTTAAAGGGCCAGCACGGCCTTAAATGAATACGAATGCAAATAATGTCGACTGTTTTTATGGCTGGCCAAGTGAAATATTATTTGTGATTGATTATATAGTTTAGTTTTTTGCAATTTGTACTTTTAATTGGCATTTTAAACTCTCCAGTGACATGTTTTTTTTTGGTAAGCTTTATTAAAATACTGAACAACTTTTCAATTCCAATTCAGTTTTTTCATTGTTGTTGGTTGTTGCCCCAACTAATTTGATTATGTGCGCAGCCTGAAAAACGCGCTGCATACTTTTGGGACTGCATTAAAAGCGAGATGGCAAAAATGAAGTATCTTATTTTGAACTGTTTTCAATATATATTTAACAAAGTGCCATAAATCAGAGACGCTTAGGCCAACAGGCAGCATCAACATACGCGCAGCTCACATGGCGTATGAGTGATTTATTGAACGATTTTCGAAAAATGCAATTTAAATTGATTTCATTGTTGTCTGGACTGCATAATAAACTAAACTAACCGCAATGGGCTATGCTCCAGCCACATATTTTACAAGCCCAAACAAGCAAGCAAAAGGAGGAGCCACGAGCCCCCGAGTGGACAAGGACAGCGAAGAGGACGAAGTTAAGCGTGGTCAGGGACCAGCAGCAGCTGCCACTGCGACGAAGACCAACGGTCATAAGCGGTTAAATGAGTTGCTTGTGTGTGTGTGTGTGTGCCAATATCGACCACATGTGGTTAAATTATGGCTAGCAAAAGTGCGCACAATGTCCGCAGCCCAAGGGATGCCTTTAGCTGGCAGCTGCCCATATGGCTTTGACTATTGCCATTGCAATGCGTTTTCGACACATTTATTTTACAATTCTTACAGCTTTACAGGAAATCAATAAAACATATTTCACAGCGTCCCGCAATTGCTTTTTGGTCGTCGTCAGTCCTCTGCTGCCAATGACGCATTTCACTCTGTACACTTTACTTTTTGTTTTCCATATGCCAACGATAATGAAGTTTCATTCCTTGATCATCTCCCATCGTGCACGCATATTGAGCTGGGACGCCAAAGTTTGTCAAATTACTGCTCAGATCCCGCTTAGCTCTTTTCATTATAATGAGGGCATTCATTAGGCACTTGGTCTGTGGTTTTAGAGGGCTCCTCAGCGCCCATTCGCATGACATTGATGTGGTCATGCATCATTTGGATGCCAGCAACTGGCTGAGTGAACACTTCGGTGGCCAATTACGCAACAGGCCAGTTCAGCTCTAATTGGAGTCGCTTTCATTGGCAGCCAGGCAAGCGGAATTGCATTCGGTCGTACGTTGATTGAAGATGCGGCACGTGCAGTGCCAATTTTCGTGGTTTGGCGGCGACAAAGTAGTTAACTCGAATGACCATTGACTAGCCAAACGCTAGAGTTGCAGAATTTAACCATAACAACTTCCGTTCAGTCTGAATGAACGCTGGAAATATTTGCTTAACTCAGAATTAATTATAATTACTCTGAGGCTGTCGCTTGAGCAGCTGTCACAAAAAGCTGCTGACTTCGCGTTTGCTCAGCGCGCTTTCAATTTGGTTTGTAGCTGGAAAAATCATTTTAATTTCATTAACATGAAAAAGGTGCCAAAACGTAAGCCACGCTGCGGATGCTTGCCATTGACATGCCACAGGTTTTGCGTTTCCATGTCAGTTGGTTTATTTCTGACCCGCTGTACCCCACGGCGTATGCTTAACACACGCAGTGCAAGCGAAAGAAAAAAAAACTGTTTAATGAAAATGCAGTTTTCAATTAAATTTAATACGCCCACTGCTCGCACAAACTTTTATTCAATTAATAGAAATTCCTCGAGCAAGCCAGACAGCACACAGAGCTGCGGACAGCGGGCAGGGGACAGCGGACAGCGGACAGCGGACAGACAGTTTTGTGGTCAATTAACCGCAGCGCACGCTGCGGCTTAGATACTCTGCTCCAGCTCCTGGTCAGCAGAGATGTGGGCAAAGTTGGTTAGTTGGCGAGTTGGCCAGGCTACAAAGGGACGTATGTAGCGTGTCCGGCCGTTGGGTGACTTCATTTAAGCAGAGTCAACCGCTCCATAAAGCGTTTATTTTAACACACAGAAAGTTTCATTTGCGCTCGACGCTCCAATTTTGTGCTGGTTTCCTGGTAATTGTTTTAAGTTGCATTTATTTAAACTTTTTACGTTTTACGTTTTCTCTACTAAAAACTCCCGCGCTCGGGGCACGGATAACTTTGCCAGCTTGTTGAGAAACTTTTTAATGCTATTTTGCCTCTTTTCTCCCCCCTTCCACCAGCTCTTCCTGCATGTTGTTAATTTTATTAAAGTTTTCCTTATCAGTTTTTCGTTGACTGCAACCTGCACCGGCAAGCACAAAGACCGCATGGCATAAAAAAATTAAAAAAAATATAGAGAGAAGAAATTCACCTTTTGTTAAGTGATGCCAAAAGTATCCCAAACAGATGAGCAACTTGTGTGGGTGCGTGTGTGTGTGTGTCTGTGTGTGTGCGTTGCAATGCTGCTTCTCTTCGCACTCAATAAAACATGGAATATGTGAAATATATTCTTCATGCTTGAAATATATAATTCCAACGAGCAGCCAGAGGAGTATGAAGAGAATTTTGCGTATATATAATATTATATAGTATACTTCTCACTTCATTTCTCAATTTAATAAGTAATTTCAAGTCATATTATTTCAGAATACTTAATTTAATATATGAAGTTCTAAAGAAACTCCGCAAAGCTTATCTTAATTTTATTATGCAATTCAAATAATTTATTCTTTGGCTATTCAACTTAGCTTACTTTCCAGCTTTTTTCTAACATTTTAAATCTAAAAACTCATAAAGAGGTCTCTCAGCTGCCTTGCTTAGAACATTTATGTGCACAAATACATTCGCATTTGTCTAGTTAGACGCAGTAAAATATAAACAGCTCCCTGGTGGCATATCTAAGTATACATGAGAATATCAAAAGAGGCGGAGAGAGCAAGCAAAATAGAAGCAGAGCTAAGGAAATATATATAATGTAGAATGCATGGGTACATGGGTACAACCTAATAATAAACTGACAGTATGAGCTTTACATTGTTTTCATTTAGATTTGGATTTAGATAGATTGTGGCTGGCTTTAAATATGTGGCAACATTAGCATATGCCTTCATGTTGCACACGAAATGAGAGAACACGCAAGGCGGGTTAAAACCCTAACGGGTGACATCTTAAGCCAACTTCCCTTAGCTCCCAGTCTCCGACTCTTGACTTGCCATTCAACTCTCATATTTATGCGCACTTTGTGGCAAATATTTTTGTATGCCTCCACACTTGTTGTTTCTATTTCCAACACATACACATATTGTTTCGTTTTACGCCCTTTGCTTCGTATTGATTTTCGCTACAGCCCAAAAGTGTGCTACACGACTCGCATACGGCATACAACACACAGCATACAGCATCTAGCATCTAGCATACATCATATACAATATGTGCATTTTATGCGCATTGATATTTTATACAACCGCCCACTCAACGAGTTACACACACATATAAATATATATATATATATATACACATATGTACAATGTGTGTGTGTTGTACATGGATATCCATTGTTTGCACACTCTGTGACATTTTTATGCGGCCAAACTTTGTTGCATCAAATTTACGGTGCGTATGAGTAACGACAGCCGTTGCCAACCGCCCGTCACATTTGTGGCAAATATTTTGCTGTTATTTTCATGTTGTTCTTGCTGTTGCTGCTGTTGTTTTGCAATCCAAACGATATGTGTCGTAAAAAACACACTTGCATTTATTAGCCATCAGCTGAACCCACCCGACCACAGCCACAACCAGGCCCCAACCGAACTGTCAAGAAAAACCCCAAATTGTGTGGAGTAAAATAACAATGCGAAAGCAAAAGCCATTCAACACTTTCAAAAGTATTTGTTTTTTTTTTTGTTGTTGTTTTTCTTTTGTTAATGTGAACATGAAAATGTAATTGAATAATAAATTTAGCAATTCTGAATGCTCGAACAATGTAACTGAAATTAATCAGAATTTATTTATTTAAATTTATCTGCTCAACTGTGGCTCAATTGAGTATGTCTGGAAGTGAGTTTGCTGCTGAGAACAGCACGGAAATTACAAATCATAATTTCATTATTTCTTTTGCCTTTTAATGATTCCATTCAAAAGGTCTACCCACCCATTTGGCTGGCTCTGATTTGATTTGCTCTACAAATTGCTTGCGCAAAAAGTTTGAGCACCTTTCCACATTGCCAAACATAATTGCACACAAAGAAACTCGCTCACATTTGTCGGGGGCCCTCAAAAAATGAGATTCGTTCGTTGGAGCTGGGCTGGCGCTTCTCAAGCTAAAACAAATTGGATGCCATACAAATTACAAGAGCAAAAAGTCACGATTGCTCACCCACGAGTCAGAAGAAATTTATGAAAATGTAACACAGCGAAAAATGTGAAGTGACTGTGCGAAGTAAGAAGTTTGCATTATCGCTGGCAGACTTACCGTCATGTATTCATCCAAACGATGCTTCCAATTGTCAGATCTATCGATTAGATTGTTCCACTGCTCAGAAAGTTTGCCCACCTCGCGCCGTATGCTGCGAGCCAGTTCCCGGCTCTGCTCCTCGGCCGACATGTAACGCGAGTCGGAGTCGTGGGCGGCTGCAAGGATACGGCAAAAGTCGAAATGTGTTAGAGAGCAGAGTGTGAAAAAATTATAAAAATTGTCGGCTCTTGGCCGTTGGCATATACAGACAGTTTGTTAGGCGGGCAAAAACAATTGCAACTGCTATCATATTTGGCCTGCCTGCCCCAGTGCTGCTGCTGCTGGCACGTAACTTTATGAATTAGAGATGATATTATGGTCCTTAATGTTTACCGACAGCCATGATTATGCTGACGATGCTAAGCAGCAAGTGGCAGGGGCGAGGCAACTTTGATTATGCTGATTGCGAACGGTGATTAAATTTGCAATAAAATAATCTCAGCTCTGCGTCAGGCATATCGAAGTAAAAGATACGCTCAAGGGACAAGTCAATTTCTAACGGGGCTGGCAGCCAGAGAGTTGGGCTTCAATCAAATTAGCAGTTAGCCGTTGTGTTTGAAAGAGACTCTCAGAGTAGTTAGGCCAGGACAGCGATGAGCACTCTGAGTGGCTTATCATATATTTAAATTATCGTTTGGCTGCTATCATCTATTTAGTAGTGCTATAATAGGAGCTCAACAGGGAGAAGGAACTTGGGCCATATCCTTCACAAAATCGACAAAGAAAACCAGAAAAGAAAACATAATAGAAATGTCATGAAACATGAGAGACAGCCTGACGTGCATGTTGCGGAAATGCAAGAGATGCCTGGGAGAGAAAGAGAGAGGGAGAGAAAGAGAGAGAGAGTGACAAGTGGCAGTCGAGGCTAGAAGAAAATCAATCCCCTCAGCTGATGGCACTACACTGACACCGAGAGAAGTATGACAACAGCAGCAGCGGCTTCTGCGACTGAGCATCGATGAATGTCAGAGCCGTTGGCTAAATCTGAATTTAATTTAATGCACGAACGGAGCCGGGGAACAACTTTTATGGCCCCGCGCCGCAGGCGCTGCTGGTTGGCTGCTGGTCGGCATCTGCTAATATGATGCTAAGCAAATATCGGGCATGGAGAAATACTTTGAGGAAGCGCCCGCCAGCAGCGGAACTGTTGTAATATTCAAATTCAATTTAAGATTGAGTTTATCGCATAGATGTTTTCTGCTCTTTCCGCGCTTCACTGGCTGACGGCAGCGACAGGAGATTGTTGATGGAAATGGAAAATGCGTCCGAAGACGGAGTTTTCGACGGAGATGAACGTCAGCAAAACTTTTCGTCCTGCCGTTGACTTCATTTCCAATGCGACTTCTTTGGCACAGCCTTGGACATTTTTCCAACCAAATTTAATTTGGTCAAATGCAAAAGAGAAAAGAAACTTTAAGTTTCAATTTGAATAACCAATGTTAAAAGTAGGTTAAAAGCAAAAGTATATTCAGCATTTGAATTAAAAGGGTTTCTTAGTCAATAAGAAAAAAGCAAAGGTCTCCAGAAACTGGGACGTCCAATAAGGGCAAATTAAGAGAAAAGTGAAGCACAGAGCTGATTCACATTGTATGCAAGGCTAACAAAGTAAATTAATTAATCTGAGCAATGAGTAAAATTTAAATGGATATTTTCTACATAAGAAAGGTCTCTCGAGTCTTGGAACAAAGCAAAATATGAAATGATATGAAGTCTAAGCTTATGAAGTATAAAGTTCAGTTCATGCTTAATACTAAATTTAGTATTTTCTAATTGAAATGTGTTAAATAATTAATTTGCCTAAACAAATTAATGCGATTTGCCGAAAGGGGAAAGATTTAATTTAATTTAAATGAAACTTTATGTCGCTTGCACTGATACGGCCAGCAGATAGCCGCAGAATAAACATTAATGGTTAAATTTAAATGCCAGCTAAAAGCACAGATTCCGTAGCCACACACAAATGGCACACACACACACGCACACACACAGATAGAGCTGGGGCAACTGTTGATGGTTTGGCACTAATAGCGTACTAATCGCACTAATTGCTTTGGTTGCAATTATCGTTGACGCCTCCTCGTAGGCGGCTGGGCGTGGCCATTGGCGATCTGTCGCCATTGTGCGAATGCTGAAAACCAACAGCACATACTAAGCCAATGGCCATTTGCTAAATTGTTGGCTGTAGTTAAAAAGGAACTAAGCCCCAACAGCAAAAAAAAACAACGAAAAAAAGCAGTGAAACAAAATCAATTGGTGATTCCGAACCAGCCGCACAGAGTTGTCTACATTTAGGCGTCTCACGTGCACAAAACATTGTGTGTATGTGTGCGTGTGTGTGTGTGTGCTCTGGCCAGCCGTTAAGCTTGTGCGGCCAGAGCTCAATGGAGTTCTTAGTTGAGAATGCTGTGTTGTGTCGATGTTTGATTTTGAGATTTGCCATACAAATTGAAAATGCAGTGAAAAGGCAATTGTTGAATTCTGATGAGTTCTTTGCTGGCCATTGAGAGCCTGAATAGCCTGCCAAGAGCTGCTAAGCTGATTGCTTAACAAATTGTATGAATGATACCGAACTCGACCACAAAATTCGCTTTAAATAGTTGAAAATTCATGGTCATGTTTGCGGTCAAAGTTTATGGGCGGCTGTGCACTTACTATCTGCCCCATACATAATAATTTAATGGTTTGTCGTAAAACTTACCCTCGGTATCGCTGGTATCCGAAACGGGCGTCTCGCTGGCTATATACTGACGACCGCTCGTTAAATTGCTCTCAACAATTGGGCGTTTATCCTCCAGCTGACGGCGAAAAGCTTTATGATCATCCTGCAAGCAGAGAGAGCACACAAAAGAAATGAGAATTTTTTGTCGTGTTCCATTGGCTTCTTTTGCAAATAAAGTCAAATAAAATATTATACTATTATTTTTGCCATAGTCTCTGTATTGCTCAGTGCTGCCAAAGATTTATTTATTTTGGCTAAAACTGATGCAGCCACAAATAATCATAACGAGTAATGCCACTTGGCCAGCCATAAACTATTTGGCCTGCGCCGAAACGAAAGAGCCAAATGAAAGAGGAAATACGAGAAATATAGTGAGCGGACTTCAAGGGCCCCCTCCTTCTATAAGGCATCATAGCAGCTCAGCAGCGTGAAGAAGCTCACAATAAATTTCGTGTTTAATGCATTTAGTGTAGGAATAAAAAATGCAACAATACGGCCAAAGGGCACGGCGAAAGCTGGCGAATCAAATGAAAAGCAATACAAAATACAAGCCAAATTCCTTTTCGAGTGTGTTGGAGCCGCAACTCAAGACTTGGCCCCACTCCACGCCATGCCACGGCACGCCACCAGCCGAAATGTAAATGTCCGGCAGACCGTAACTTAGTGGCAGGCAATAGATTTCCAAGGCCTGCTTGGCTCCAAGGGTGAAAGTTGCCTCATTTTTTGTATTCCCGTCAGTTCCCAGCGGGTGTGTGTGTGTGTGTGTGTCTGTGTGTGTGCGTGCTGGGGGTAAGTGAAATTCAAGTGGCGCACGCTGTGTTAGACAGTGTTTCCCCATTACCGACTGGCCCGGCCAAGTCCTGACTCTACAGTGGCTGCTGCCATTTCAACTGCTGCTGCTGCTGCCTTTTTTCTCCCCCTTAAGTGATTTCCGGCATACATATGTGTACATATGTATGCGCTTATGTGTGTGAGTGTGAATGTTTCTGACATAACAAGCATCATTTAACAATTATTTAAGAATTCGCAGCTAGCGCAGTTTAGCCAAGTGGGACTTTCAATTCAACTACGCAATTCGGTCAAGTTGGGCAGTTAAGATACTCTGTAGCACTTGACTCTGAACAGAATCGATAGCTGCTCAAGTGGCCCAGTCACAAGAAGTGCTATGCGAATGCATAAAGCACATTTCCTATGGGAAGGCAATAAAAAACATTGACACAGTCGGACAGAGACTGACTGAAATCTTACCAAAATTAAATCTTATAAATTGAGTAAGCTTTAATTTCGACTAAATTTGAACATTTCATACATTTCTATTTGTTACCTGAGCATCTCATATTAATTTCATGGAATTTCTCATATTGCGCATACGCACAGCAGGCTAAAACGCCAAAATATACACAAAGCATTTCCAGCGCATTATTTCAATGCAGCAATTATGAAATGGCAAATTCGCCGTCAGTGAAACAATAACTTTATGTCCTCAATAAGCCTGCGAACTCAATACTCCACAGCACAATTAAATTGGTTTGGATCAATTCACTCCGACACAATGATAATGTTAATAGGATCTAATAATTGACACTAAATATGAAACTATAAAAGCGGCGCTAAGTGCGGATTTTCTATTAATTCCACTGAGTTTGAACAAAGCGTGAATACGGATTTGCATGACATATAATTAGGGCTAAATATTTGCTCGAAATGTGCCTGGCACACAGAATGGGCTTGCCAACCACTTTATGCGCCATTAAATCACAGAGACCCTTCACACACACAGACACAGACACACACTCACGCAGGCGCCTGCACAGAGAGTCGAAAAATTACAAATTGTGGCTGAGAATGGCACTAAAAATGCCAGCACCCCGCACTTGACTGGGCCAAAGCCTTCCACACAATTAGTTGGGCAGAGCAAATTGAGGTGCAGCCAGCGCTGTGGAAAAGGTTAAAATTGGGTCGTCCGCAGCACACACACACACACAGAGTGTAAAAAAACAGCTAAAGCCAACAAACAAGCTCATGATGAGCACCAACTGCAGAGTGAACTCTGTGCTCGCTCATATTGAGGGCATGCTTATTGCAAGTACTTCAAATATTCACTGAGAACCTTCAGACTGACCCAACTGGATTCGCAATGAGTGCCAAACATAGCATCGTATTTACTTTAACGTAATTAATTAGTTAATTAGTCTTTAATTTATATTTATTCTATTTTCTACTTCTCATACTAGTCGTAAACATATTTTTAAGTTATTTTTATTTTAGCTTACTGATTGACGAACGGAACTGAATATCTGATGGAAAAGCTGACTGACTTACGGACTTATTAACTGCTTGACTGACCTAGGGATTTATTCACTGATAGTTTGAATAGCTGGTTTTTTATTGATTGATCGACTGACTGATGACCCAACAGAGTTTCAGATTGACCGACTGGCAAATGAAGTCTTGTTGGATTGATTGACTTAGTGTCTGATTGATGAATTGCCAAAATTAGCGACTTACTATTTGATTGCGTGACTGATATCGAACAGATTGAAAGTTGGAAAGCTTGATTGACCAATCGACTGACTCATCTATTTATTGTTTGATTGACTTATTGCCTGCTTGACTGACTACTATTTTGATTGACTGACTGATAAACTAGCTGAGTGTCTGATTGACCGTCTGGCAAATGAAGTCTTGTTGGATTGATTGACTGAGTGATGTATTGATTGACCAAATAACTGTTTCTTTGATTCATTGTCTAATTGATTAATTGACTGAGTGACTTGATTCATTGACTAACATCTAGGAGATTGACAGATGCACTTCTTAGATTGATTGAGTGATGAATTGATTGAACAATCGACTGACTCACAGATTCATTGTCTAATTGATTAAATGGCAGACTGAGTGACTAACAATTTAAATGATTGACTTACTATCTAACTGAGAGTTAGATTGAATGACTGGCAAATAAAGTATTGTTGGATTGATTGGCTGAGTGTCTGAGTGATTAGTTGCCAGAATGAGTGACTTTCTATTTGGCTGATTGACTGATATCTAAGAGATTGATAAATTGATTGATTGGCAAATAGATAGTTCTATTAATAGTTTGACTGATTGATTATGAATAATTGATTGACCAATCGACTCTCTTAAGCTGATTCACTGACAAGCAAAAGGTTTATTCCACCAGCGCAGAATATTTAGTTACCAAAATTAATAATTTCTATTGCTTATAATATTTAAAGCACTTTGTTTAGGTGTAAAGTGAATATGAAAGCCGAGACCTTTCCTTGAGCACGGGTCTTAGCACATAGTTTCGCATTATTTATCAAGCTTTTTAACGGATCAACTTACAAGCTGTTTTTGTAGACTAGCCGCATCGCCGCGCACAGGTCCTAAGCCTAAGCTGCTCAGCTCTGTATCCTTGCGAATGACCCACTCGGTAAGCTCGCGAAGCGACAGCAGCAGGGCATTCCAGTGCTCCGAATTTGATTCCAGACGATTTCTGCAAGCAAAGAAGGTCAAAGTGCGGGGTTAGCGGTTGAGGGCGGCAAACAGAATATATAAGCTTGATAATAATATTAAATTTAATTTGGCACTTTACAACACTGGCCAAGCAGCTGTGTTGATTACTAAAGACGCCCAGCAACAGCCACAAAATGGCAGCGACAATTTGTCTGCTCGTCTGCATCGGGGGCGGGGCGTCTAATAAACCTTCCCAAGCTGCGCCCCAAGCCCTGGCGGCGACCCAAGTGGCTGTCGTCTATGCTGAATTTCAGCTCTTGCTGTAATTGTGAAATGCCCGGACATTATATTTTCTTCTCTTCTTTTGCCTGTCGGCCATTTCGCTGGCATATTTTTTGTCCCATTCGGAAGGAGTGTGTGCGCGGGGTCAAAGCATCTGAAAAATCTGCATCCGTGCTCGCTCTGCAACAACAATAGTCAGCTAGAAGGAACTGGGAGCATTTAGGCGCCATCGCCTTGTGCTTTGTCTGTTTATCTTTGGCAAAATTCCTTGGCCCGTTTTCTTTATTATTATTTTTGCCTGCTCCTCGCTTGTAATTAACGCATAGCATGGAATTGAAGTCGCGCCCGGGCAGCCGTACATATGTACATCGCTGACTGCCTGTAACTTTACGCCCACTTTCGCTTTTCGCCCATGCAAATAATAAAAGAAATAACTCGTCTCGGAAATATGCTTGGGAAATAAGATGTATTAAAATGCTTTTGGTTTGCTCATTTCGTTTGCTGCCTGCCTCTTTGCGTTTCCCGTTGTTCTGGCTTTTATATATATATACAGATATATAGACCCTCTTCATTCCAATCTACACTTGACAATGTCTCGTCAGATTTCTTTGTTTTTTTTTTTCGACAGCTTCTGGCGTTGACTTTAGCAGAGAAAATTAGTATGGCAAAGCAATTCAAGCGAATTGTAAATGCTTTCGGGTTTTATGTTATATTTAGGAAAATTGTTCAGAATTTAATTACGCTGGAATGCATTAAGGAAGTATAACAATTGCCAAATCCCATTGAGGCTTGAAGTATTGTCCTCATGCCTAATAACCGGCTGTTGTCACCACCCACTTGAAGACACAAGAAAATAAATATTACGATTTTGCAGAACTGTCAGTGCTTAATACATTGATTGAGCATTGCAATACTTTTGCAAATCCATCATTTAAGCTGGCATTGGGCGTGGAATTTGTATACCAACCCTCGTCATAGCGTGTGCCACCCGTTGTGCCTGTCCCAAATGTAATTTAAGACAAACCACCACACATGTGGGTACTCCATATATCAAGTGGGTTCATCAATCTTCGCGCAACTCAAACTCCAAGAGCAATCAAGAGAGCCAGCCAAGAGATCTGACGCTGCAGTTGAGACACCTGTAGATGCCACAAAAGCAACTTGAAAGCACAAAGTTTTGATGAAAGCAGGCAGCGTGAATACTTCCGATAGAAGTTCAAAGACAGCAACTATGCACATAAATGACCCACAGCGAGAGACCGGCGACCGAGCAACCGAGGGCCGCGGCTAACACAAACAAGAAACTAAAGGCCCGAGCGAAAACTTTTCAAGTGCTGTCCAAAATATTTCACTGGAATTTATAAGCCAGCAAATCTTTGGCAGCAGAGCAAACAACAAGTGAAACCAAGGCAAACACAAACACACGGGGTACCAAGGAAACAGCAAAGCAAATGCTGCTGGCCAAACAGCGCAGACGACAGACCAACAACAATATCGGAAGTGGCAGTGGAAGTGGCCAAACTTGGCAAACGGAAATATGCCAAAACGCCAACAATGAACGTAAATAGAAAGCATCTCGAAGCTGACAAAGAATAATCGTCAGAGTTTGGTCAACAAAGGCGATGCCGAGCGCCACAATACACAACGGGGGCTGGGTGGGTAACTGGGCGTGGCCACACTTAAGGTGTCATTCATTGGCTGTTATGCTGTTATTCCGTTTTGGGGCCCTTAATTGAAAAACGCTCCAAAGGGACGTAAAATATTGTTGCCTACTTCAGCGCGCATACGCACCATTGTACGGGAGACCGTCAGCTTTATATTCATATTGCGTTTGCTTGTTTTCCACCGCTTTTCTCGTGTCACCATCATTATTCATTTTAAACCATCAACGCCAACTATCTGTGTGAGCGAGTAAACAGCAGCGAGGTCTGCCTGACTTTCGATCAAGTCAGCTTCGGCATCAGCATCAGCATCAGCATCGGCATCGGCCCATGGCCTCTGGCCCAGCATCAATATCAACAAGCGGACAATATTTGTAAACGCTGGCGTGCTTTATTTATGAAATGCGGAAATTACAAATACAGCCACATTGTCAGACATACGCCCAGGACACGGACAAGGACCCACTGAACTCGCGTGCACTGGATAGCATCATATTGCCAGCTGGGCAGCCGCGCAGCCGGGCAGCCATGCAGCTGTCAACGCCCATCATGGATTGGCCACATCAACGGCGCGTGCTGAGCGACACAGTGTTGTGTCCATGTCACTTTTGCCGGTTCCGGGACTTTTCACGCGTTTTGTTGTTCTCATTTCTCATTTCTTTTTTTTTTATTGATTTTCAAGCTCTTTTATGGGCGTAGCTCTTACATCTGGCCTGTTGCCTGGCCGCGCGGAAACTGACGTTGGCCCGCCTTGATGGCTGGGCAGTTCGTTTGACTGGCTTGTTTGTACGGTTATTTTCGCATTTTCATCAACACAAAGTCTTTGAACGCAGCAGCACGTTGTCTGTGGCGTAACAAATGTCGCACAACATGCCTTTAATGTGGTTTAATTAACGCGTCACTCATTGTTCACGTTGCTCTCAGACTTGCTACTTTCTACCATGGTTGAATCCTTAGACAAAGGAATTAATTGCTGATTTAAGCTCTCTGATGTCAACTCATATGCAGTTTAATCACAGTGCAGCTTTGGAAAATGTTTGTAAATGTAATCTAACATGCATAGGTTAAGCAGAGATATACAAAGTAAATGAACAATTATAAGTTTTGCAGTTGAAGCAGAATTAATTATGGGACAATGATTTTCGCAGACTTGTAATTTAAATTTCTCAGGGAAAGTCAACATCTTCTGTCGAATCTATAGAAAGTTAGTGTTAAGGAGTGTATGAAAGGGAAAGATTGAGCACATAAACAAAAATTGAGAGAAATATTATTGGTTTGACACAAAAAACTCTTATACACTTGCCCAATCCAACAACAAAAGATTTTATATTATTTTAGTTTTACTGTAGTCTTTATATATATAAGTTTTTTAATTAAAATACCACAAACGTTGCATTATTTATATATATATATGAACTTACGCATTCATCGAATGCACATTGGCCTAGTTATTCAAGCGCCATGCATAGACCTCAGTTTGTTTAGTCGCAAACAATAACAAAAGAAAAAAAAACATGTAGAAAACGGTTTGGTTTACAGCTCGAATACCGAACATCATTTCAAAGCAATGGGGGAAAAAAATGAAAGGAAAGAAGAAAGTTGGAGGCAAAAAGCACTTACCTGATTGCAATACTTTTCGATTTTAAATTATTCCAGCGTTGATTCATTTCATCCAGGCGACGCTGCAGCATAACCGCATCCTCTTGCGAGGTGAGCGAACCCAAAAGTTTGCGGCCGGTGCCATCGAGACGATCGTAAACAACGCGATGGGTTTCAATTTCCGATTGCAGATCCTGCAGAAGGCAAAAGTTGTAAAGTTCAAAAGGTGAATGAGTGAGTGCGCAAAAAACGAGTAGGAAATGCTAATAAATTAGTGTATGTGAAATTTATTCAAAACTCGGCGACCGCACGGGCCGCTGCAAGGAAATTGAATTTCAATTTCTATACAAATTTTCGGTTTATGGCAGCCGCACGTATAATTGTGACAATATGTGTGTGTGTGCATGTGTGCTCCGCCTGTTTTGTGTACCCAAACACCGTGATATGCAAAATGGCTGCAAACATTTTTAGACAAAGCCAGCCATACACAGCAGAGGCACTGCAGCCGACCCGGCAAGCGGAGCTGCTGGATTAAAAGGCAGCCATTTAGCACAACAAGCAGGCCATGAAATTGCCGAGCAGGCCATCAATAAGCCCGCACGTAGCTCTAGGCCGTTCCGTGCGCCATTGTGTCCAGCATGTGGCCCCTGACCCGCTCCACGCGCCCACCTGGACGGACACTTTTGAACATGAGTGATAAGTTTTTAAGCGCCTCGCTGTCCATGTCCCGTGTCCCAGATCCGGGGCCTCGACTCGCTTTGCAATTATTAACCGCATGTGACCTCCGACCCGACAACCACAAGCCTCCACAGCTATGTCGCCCCTGCCTGACTAGATTTCCAGCTGCGGTGCGTCTCAGTTTTTGGCTGTCGCTGGCATCTGTGTTGTGGCAGGTGTTTTATTTGTCAACCCGCCTGGCAAAGGCTTAAAAATGTTTCGCTTTTCGGTTGTTTTCTCTGCTGCTTGGACCCAAAAACATACAAAAATGTACCCAGTTATTCGCTGTGGTTTTGTTGGTTAAGTCACCCACAAAGCAGACACACACACACACACACATATGCATATATATATATATATATATATATATATATATATAAATATATATGCAAAGGTTTATACACAATGTGGGTGCCTTGGTCTTGTGAGTTTTAAGGCCGGTTTTATGGGGATTTAACTTTGATGTGGCTAAGTTCATGTGGTTCACACAGCACATTTTAGTTCCGGAGACAGCTTATGTGAACATAGCCCAGCCGCCCACTGAATAAATGAAGTTGGCCAACCCGAAAGCCTTTCTTTTTTTTCGAAAATTCAATTAACAGGCAACAATAATCGTTAAGGCATAATAATTCGGACTAGACTAGAAGTGACAGAGCGAAAGACTGAGGGAGAGAAACAGTGAGAAAGATAGAGAATTAGTAGTCCCATTTCCATATGCGTAAATGAAATTATGCTGCCCTAACAGCTAGTCCCTAGCTCATATTTGAGTTAGACTCGAGGCGAAATGTTTGTAAAGCAATTTTCATGTTTCGCATTTGCAAATGAATTTAAATACAATTCATTTTGCTGTTGATTTGAAGCTTTTTAATCCTTGAATCCATCGCAGTAGGCGCCTGTCGTCTGAGCATTTCCAGGCAGCTTGTTTCGCTAATTGAATCAATCAATCAATCCCACAAAACGTGCCAAATAAACTAATTAAAAGTGGAATTAGTGGCACATACGGACAGATATATAAATAACAGCGCAGCAAAGGGCTTCTAAAATAATGCGTGCTTAAATGTGTACATCTATGTATATAAATATATGTGTGTGTGTGGGCGTGGGTGGGTATCTGAGTGTGTTTGCTAATTAAACCTTCATTAGGACGCCAATGGCTTTTGTTGCATGTAAACAATAGAAAAAAATTAGTAGGAACGAAAGAAATAAATAAAGCCAAGCAGTCAAAGGGCGTTGAATTCAACGACGTTTTTACTCGGATGCTGTGCGAAACGAGGCAACAATTAATTTGGCTTATGCATGTCACAGACACACACGCACACATCCACCATCCACCTCACACACACACATAGGCAAACCGAGCGATTCAATTAATGCGCAAAAATTGTTTATACACCAATAGAGCGGAAATGAGCGATGTCGAGCACGGAGACGGCTCGGGCAAAGTAAAAAAAAAAATACAAAGCAGTTTTAATGAGCAGCCCATCTCTGTATGTGTGTGTAAGAGTTTGGCAGCGGTTCATGCTTGGAGACGGGGCTCACGTGCAGAAGCCGATTAAATCAATTAAAAGAGAAAATGCCAATGGCACGGCGTCTCCGCTAATAACAGCAATTTGTCGCGATGCATTGGGTCATTATCATGGGGCTCTAACCCCACGTACCCCGCCTTCAGGCTGACCCAACTAATTTCTGTGACGAAAGCGCACAAATCACGACAAAAAGTATATATATCAAGGCCTCCTCGCTGCTTGACTGACCGTGAAGCTTTTAAAGCCGACTTTGTGGCAGACTTTGCCGACTCTACTGAAGACTCATAAATGCAGGTATTATCAGGATTAAGCGCAGGTATTTTTATGTGTGTGAATGCATGAGTAAATGTGTGCATGGTTTGTGAAGGCAGGCAGGCTGCCTCACGCTTTGTTGCCTCATTTTTTACATTTCCGCTGAGCATGTGCTAGTGTGCGTGTGTGTGCGTGTGTATGCAGTGCATTTTGCAGCTGTAAGCCCCAATTAAGTAAATGCCAAGCGCCCGACTTCTCTCTCAGGCAGGCTCATAATGATGCGGGCCATAAAGCAAGACGTGATTCAAATGCCACACGAACGTGGTCCAACGCCTACTTCTGGACGCATGCGGCTTAGTTGCTATTAACTACGATTGCTTTTCAGCCAGCCGACGTTTTTTTATTTACAATAATTACTCGTAAAAAATATGCTCAGCATATGCTGTTGCTAGGCATGTGAAGAGCTGCTCAAAGCTGAAGCACTTCAATTTTCTTAAATTCTTAAATTACGTCTGTGCTGCAGAGCTGGCAATCGTACACAGTGCGTATGATAAATTTTCGATTTAGTCAGGCACAAAATAAACATGACACTGTGGCACTAAAAGCTCGTCTGCATTGTCAGCATGAATTTGAAATCAAATTTTTGAGTGAGCCAGAGATACCTGCGGGTGCTTTTTTCTCATAAATAATAGCTGCAGCCATCATGGAAACAACAACAGCAACAACAACAGCAGGAAGAAGACGGCAAGGAAAACATCAAGAGACAGCAGCCGACCTTACAAATAAAATGGAAATGCGTTTATAACGCGCTCATAAATATATTAGGGGCACATAATAAACACATCACCAAGTGCTGTCGACTGAGGCAGTGACGAATGCTTAACAAGACTGCCCAGGCATGCCGCCCTCCGCCCTCTGCCCTCTGCACACCACACACACACACCCCATGTTGGCTGCTTGGCTGTCAACAGGGCCAGGCGGCGAGCTGTCAAGTGGTCTCACTCGAGGCGACTGTGAGCCACTGACAGCCGCCATGCCCTCGCCGCCCACTAAGCAACTGCAAACGGAAATGACAACAAAATTTAAAAAGGCCTCGATGTGAACTCGTCCCCCTGTGGCGCCGCCATTCGCCCAGCGATTGAGCATGTTGATGGAGCATTTTACATATTTTACATGGCCGACTGTTCAGATGCGTGTAAATCCTTTATGGGCAACTTTGGCTGGCAGCGCCAACCGCACTGGCGCTGGCAGAGGCTGGGAAACTGAAATTTGATTTGCAGCGAACGACAAAATGTGCTCAACTTGTTTGCTTAACGCTTATTTCAGCTTATTTGATTATGTTTACCTCAGGTGTTGCCTTTATTTGGCTGAGCTACGTGAGCGTAAATATTATCTGCCTGACTGAGCGCTCACTATGAGCGCAGCTGGGTCTGTGTGTGAGTGTCGTATGAATTTAGATGCCACATTCAAAATGAAATTTAACGCAATTCGCTGTGAATTTATTGATTTCACTGTGTTTACTCAACATATTTAATACGGCTACAATTTAAAGAGCCAAGCGCAAACAGTGTGAACAAAATACTTTATGCTTGATTTTTAAGATAATAATATTTGCTTGCCATTGGAATTGAAATTGCAGAATTTCTTTAATGTTTGTCAGCAAAGCAAAATGAACTCATTTATGATACGACCATAAATTCTAGATAAACATTTCTCAGAAGTCAAAGAGAAAAGTTTTCTGCAAGAGGAGCACAAGCGACTGCAGAAACTAAATGCAAAACTAAAATCAAAAATGCAAAAACTAACTGGAAAGCAGAACAGTGCGCAGTGCCTGACTTTGAGGTACCTACACCATGCATCAAGTTGACATTTAGGGAGTATGTTGACTGTTGAGTATGGAAACCAAATCGATAATTATCGATTGCTGTAAAATAAGCTAAGATACATGCATGAATAGTAAAATTATTTGTTATTGCTGTTAAAGAATATTTACTTCAAAGACTTCAATCATGCATGCATAGAACTCCACGGAAAAGCAATACAATAATTATCAGAAATACAAAAATGGTTAGAAAACAAAGGAATTTGAAAGAGTAGAAACTATGAACTGCAATTTATCTGTATGCCATATAAGCTTGGCTGCACTTGTCCTTGACTTATCTGCAAACTTCACGCTGCGCTGAGCAGAGGCACACAGACACGCTGTGAATTGGCTACGTTTAGCAGGTGGCTCGATGTCAACAAAAAGCCAAAGCCAAAGCCAAAGCCAAAGCCCAGTCCAAATCATTGAGCTGTGCAGCTAGCAGCAAGCAGTTCTGATGGAAAACTCAGTTGAGGTTCGTTGTGGGCTGCTCTCACACAGTGTTCACTTGGCTAATTCCTTTTCCTTTATGGGAAATGAAGCTAGCTCATAAAGAGGCTTGGCGAACAGTCGCATCATAGTTTCTTCCACCACAGGGACCAGTGCTGCCGGCTCGGCTCGGCTTCCTTTGGCTTCGTATCGTTTATAATGCCTTTTGCAGCAGCGCCGAGCTCAGTAGGTGGCTCAAGTTTACGGCTTGGGCTTGCATCCTGTTCTCGTGCCTGTCAGCATTATATTTTTAACCCGTGTCGCTTTCATTGTTTTACCCCAGTTTACTGCCCAGGCTCGGCTGTTGTTTCGTATTCAAAGGCGCAACCCTATCTCAGACCGTTATGTG